CGGGTCTGGTTCGACATCTGCCTCATTACCACTGTCGACGTCTTCTTCCTCTTGCGACTCTGAGTAGAAGACTGAATCGGTGTGGAAGTTTTCTACCCCCTTGAAGGGGTATTTCTCCGCAATCAGGGTTCGAACTTCGTCTTCATCATTGACATACTTCATGACTTGAAGCAATGTGGATGGGACAACGCGATTTGCGTGAATCCATGGTCGTCCTAATAACAGATTGTAGGATGTGTCCGCATCTATGATGTAACAAGCCACTTCGGATCTGAGATCTCCGATTTGACATCTGAGCTTGATCTTTCCCATAGGCCGAGTGCTGTTAGCATTGAATCCGAAGATGGTGGTTTGGGTAGCATGCAACCGATGTAAGGGAATCCCTAAAACTTGCATAACTCTGTATGGCATGATGCTAAGTGCCGAGCCTGGGTCGACCTGAACGCGACTGATTTCTGATGACCCGATATATCCTGTGTAATACAGGGGTCTGTCATGTTTATGTTTTACTTGCATATCTTCCTGAGTGAATGATATGCAAGGGAGGCTTCTGGCTGCTTGTAAACACTGCAGACAGGACTGATCTTCAGACGTTTCAGGAATTGGAGTAACCTGAGTGATGAAACTCTCCGTGTTCTTCAAGGCTTCAATTAGAGCTTCTCTGGTGGTTCTGGACAATTTCAAGAGCTCATAGTGGGTGATCCTGGCAGGTATGTTGGCTAATTGTGCCATTACATTAAATTGGTAAGGGGCGCTCGTTTCGCCAAGATCTTGGTGAAGATTTTTGTTGAAACGGAGATCTCTTTGCTTCCCTTTATCAACCGGCTTCTTTGGCACAGAACCCCCAGCGTCTTGGGGATGTTCTTCTTGGATGACTTAGCCTTGCCTCTTTTCTGCTTGAACGAGGTGTTTGTCCATTGCTGATCTTCAATTAGGCCAGGATGGACCCACATGATTTCTCCTTTTGGAATGGTGATGGGTACCAACCCCCTGCCCTTCTGATTGTGTACGTCAGTGTTCTTCAAGTGCATTTCCCCTCTATGGATGGGAATGACACCATCTGCAGCAGCTACAGGGGGAAAGTCACCGAACTGGACCGCAATCAGGTTAGTGGATAAAGTCTTCTGCTCCGGTTTCAGGGTGAGTACATTAGCGTTCACCAAATTTTGCAAGATGTCTTTGAAGACATAACACTTTTGGGTAGTATGTCCCAAGAACCTATGATATCGACAGTAATTGGGATCATCTACTTTGCCTGCACATGCTCTTCTTTGAACGAATACTGTTTGGGCGCTCTTTGCTGATTGGGTGTCTTGCCTTGCTTAGTAGGCGGTGGTACTTGTGTATAATCAGCTGCTAAAGTATCTTTTCCCTTAGATCGCTGGACGTTGTTCTGATTGCGTTGCTGCTGCGGCTTGGGTTGTGGTTCTTCTTCAGCTTTGATCCGATCTACAATCTCTTCAGCTTGCTCTCCTTGCGACACCAGTTGTCTCCAGGAGCGACATTCTGCTACCCCCATCTGAGCAAGGAGCTGGGTCTGCGAGCTGGGTCTGCAAGTTTCAACCAGAGTTGATTGAGTCATACCTGATGGGCATCGCAATGCCATGCCGCGGAACCTTTCGACATAGGTCTTGATAGACTCTTCTTTCTTCTATTTAGTGGAGAGAAGAGTCGGGACTGAGACCTCTGTGTCGTCTTCAAAGAATCTGGCCAAGAAAAGCCTTTCCAAATCTACCCATTTCTGGATAGATCCAGCAGGCAATTTCATAAACCACTCAAAGGCCACTCCTTTAAGAGTACCGATGAACAAGCGCGTCAGGATGGCGTCATTTGCTACCACATCTCTGGTCTGAGACTTGAAGTAGTAGATATGCTGATTTGGTGATCCTGTACCATCAAAAGGTTGTAACGTTGGAGCCTTAAACTTTGGCGGATAAGGAGCTGTATCCCATTCTGCAGGGTAAGGCCGTATCACTCCTTCCTCACGAAGTTCGCTTCTGTTGGCCATTGCGTTAAGGCGGGCTTCTAGCTCATCCACTTTGGTTGACTGAGGATATAGCTCTTTTTCCATCTCCTTCTCATTGTCGGAAGAAGAATCAAAGTTGTGAGTCTCACGATTTGAATGCTCGTGCGCCTTCTGCTTTCCTTTTGACGTAGTCCTCCGGGAAGACTCGGGTTTTAGCCTTTTTTTAGAGAGAAATTGGGCTAACATATCCTTCAATTGGAGAAGTGTTTCCTGTTGTGCCTGGAGCATGGCATGATGTTCCTCCACTCTTTTGTCTATGTCCTCGGGGTTCCCTGTTGTGTAAGCAGAGACCTCACGTGCGACAACAGAACTTGAAGATTGAGAATCGGCAATTGCCGAATGTTCATCACTCGTCGTAATCCCTTTGGCTAACCTTTGATAATTAACCGGTCGTATAGCTCCGGTCCGTGACCGAGTATGTCGATATACTCCTTCGAACTCATCACAGCTTTCCCGAACAGTCGGGGAATGGCTCCTTTCTGATTCATCAGAGCTAGGATACGAGGCTTTTCCTCTGCGCTCCTTTCTGATTCATCAGAGCTAGGATACGAGGCTTTTCCTCTGCTAGTCATGTTGATGGTAACCTGGGGATATTCGGCTTCAGAATCTTTCTTCTTATGATGGCGTCGTCTCTTGGTAGGTCTTACGACATCTGCCAATCTGTCGAACACCGATTGTCGGGGTTCAGGTGTGCAACATTGGCACTCGGAGAGGACTGCTGAAATAATCCTCTCACAATGGTAGGAATGATTCGCCTGTTGTATTGGTTTTCTTCTAGAGAGTAACTCTCGCAAGTCAGGGCTTTGAGATTGACTCTTCATCGGAGATAGGACCCTCTGTTTCTGAGGGGGCGAGACTGGTTCTTGGTGGACGTGAATCTTGAGTCCACTTCGATTCTTTTTAACTTGGCGGACCACATCGTATTCGGGAAGCGAAGTGCGAGGGTCGCGTTGTGATTTATAAACACCAGGCCTTGGCCTGCGTTTAGTCGATGAAACAGACCCCTTAAGGTCTTGTTTTGTTTGGACGCACTCATGAGGCGTCTGTTTTCCCTTAGCAGGGCTGTGTTTTGATTGGACAACGCACCACTGAGGGTCGCGTTTAAGTTGAATCACCCGAGGTTCATAATTGGATTCATTACCTCGAAGGGTGCGTTCTGGGGTATGAACGCAAGGTTTGGGTAGAGCTTCGGAAATACAATCCTTAGGTTGAGCCAGTGATTGATTTTCTCGGAGATGTGCTCGTCGGATGGATCTTCTCCGTCTTCGAGCGGCGTTTTTCTTGGCTTGTTTCAAAGCCTTAGCAGCAGCGTTGTCGGCGTTGATTGGGCCTTTCTCTGTCATAGGCCTCTTACAATCCAGTACACGCCGTGTTGAAATGGGCGTGGGATCTTCAGCTTGCAGGGCGAGCTTGAGGCTTTGGCCAAAGGAGAGGACTTTCTTTGGCGTCTCAATGGCGGTTAAGATCTCTTTAGAGCTCTTACAGGCATCTCGCCTAGCTTTAGGGCTAAGCGATCCAGAGGAGAGGACTTCCTCATACTTGGCTTGGTCAAACTCCACAACAAGAGTTTCGACAGTGGTTTCCAGTGAGGTGAACGTCGGATTGCGCCACCACTTCCTCATCAGAGAAGCTAGTCCCCAGCGGAGTCGCCATCTTTTGTTTGTGAAAAAATTTACAGTAAAAAAACGAAGGAAAATTGATTTGTATTCCTTTAATCTCAGTTACAATTGGATTTCCTGATTACAAAAGAGAAGAGAATGATCTGAATTCTCTCCTTTGTTTAATTCTGGGTTCTTTTTGGTAGCGATGAGATGCCTCCCTCGAGTGCTCGCGTCGAGTTTGCTTCTCGTTGACGATCCGACTATCTATACCCACTAGAACAACGGTCTAGTCTGGTTGATAACTCTTGACGAGTTTCGTGATTCAGAACGAGTAACAAACTCTGATAAAAAGAGTTGTTTGAACCGAAAATGATTCGGTTAATAAACCAAGTATCTAACGTCTGGATTCCTCAATGGATGTTGATTCCCCAGACTGTATAAAGAGTTAATTCTCCAACTCTCTCTCTAAGATCCTCTCCAGAAAATCCGATCTCCAATGATGTCTCGTCCCTCGATCTGATTATCAAAAATCCCCCTCCCTCCTTAACTCTGTTGAATTTGTTGATATTTATAGGGGGATTAATGGTGTAACTGCCCCCATAATCCGCGCCTAAATGGGGGTTTAGTTACCCCATTAATCGGGTGTAACAACCCACGTAAACCACTCCCTATATCGTGGGTAGAGAACAACTTCGAAGTTGTTACGATCACGTTTGAATGAGTTAGAACCTTGACTTGCGTTCTGGCGGTGATTGGAAAGAGCTGCTACGACGAGCTGCGTCGTGCAGCGATAGAGCTGCGTTGGCAGCGATTGATGAGCTGCGTTTGGCAGCGGTTGGTAAGCTGCGTTGGGCAGCGATGGAGCTTTGTTTGGCAGCGGTTGATAAGTTACGTTGACAGCGATGGAGCTGCGTTCGGTGGCGGTTAGAGCTGCGTTTGAGCTTCTCTGTCTTTATATATGGATGACACCAATGACCAGTAAAGAAGGTCTTATTCAGGCCATTTGTGACAATTGAGGCATCTCAACAACGCTCTATCAACTGCAGGTCACGATCTCCACTAAGATTTCTTTGCATGGTTTAACCATGTGCTCCTCAGTGTGTCGAATATCATTACACTGCTCATCAGCATCTCTAATAGTTACTAATATAATATTAGTCATGTTGTTGTCGCAGCCATCGAGATCAATCATCTCACATAAGCAGCTGTATTTTTGTTTGCAGCGGTTGAAGCTGCGTAGGTAATCAAATTGGTGTTGTGTCTTGAAGATGGTACGTAGGGAGGACTTCCACGTCTTGGTTTGAAGAAATCATCGATTTGTAATCTCTTTCTGTCAGGGTGTTGCTAAAGATAGCCTTCTGGAAGTCGTCAGATTGTAACTTCTATCATCGGTGTTTGATGGGGAATCAGCTATCTTTTATTATTTTTAGACAGCCTACAGCCCAGCGGAAGTTACGATCGTGCCCCTCTGATGGGACTAAACTCGGTTAATGCGTCGCAGCCCTATTCAAGTACCTTCCCTCTCTTTCTCTCTCTTCCACCGCTCAGGAGCCTCAAAAACTCTTCATCTTTCTAATTTCTGATCGGATTTCAACAATTCTAGGGTTTTCGTCGGAAAAATGTCGTCCATTGAAGGATCCGTTAACGATTACGAGGTCGTTCAACGTGACGAGTCGATGGGGCAAAGACGGTTCATCTGTGGTTGGCAGTGCAGAGGAAGCTACTCTAACCCTTATGGAAATGCAAAAGCAGACAATAAAATGACGAGCCAGGAAAAGAAGAACGGCATTGGCTCGTCGTACCAACGAACCCAAAAAAAACAGTAAGTGCTATGTTATCCGGTATTTGGGAACTCAATCTAATTTTTCCTAATTTCAGTTTATCTTAAACAATGCTAGGTTTTATCACATATTGTTAGTTCTAGTCTGAGTCCACATGAGTTCTAGTTTAACTCCAATGTGAGTTCTAGTTTAACTCCAATGTGAGTTCTAGTTTGATTCCAATGTTAGTTCTAGATTGAGTCCAATATTAGTTCTATAACAGTACGCGTTAGTTCTATTATATTCCCGTTAGTGTTAGGTCTAATATGAGTTCATAGGTCTTATTGAACTTGCAAATTCGAAATCTTTTTGCAGGAAAAAAGTTACTCTTACAGGTGTGACCGTATCACTAAGGTTAACCGTCAATATCGGGGCCTATTGAGAATTCATGAAACGAATTGTCCCGAAGATTCGTCAGTGGCATAGGGATGCATACGGTGGTTCTATTGAGCACTATATTTTATTTGGGGCTCCTGCGCCTGATCGGCTCACACTTGAACTACTGCTGAGCTATTTTGACAGAGATAATAACACATTTTTATACCTGATTCAAAAAGTGGGTGTGTGAAAAATATTAAATTTGATTTGTAATGGGTCCATAACCTTATTTATTTCCCAATTTATGGTGAAGTCGTAAGTATCAATCGGGACTCAAGAAGCAGAATATGAGTGGAATACTTCGCTAATCTTTTTATTTCTGAAGAGTGTAAGAAGTTAAAAAAAGCAGAAACCACCCAACGTAAACACCTCGAAGGGCAACTGAAAAGGCTAGTGGAATCTATAGAAACGTAGGATATTCAGGATTTTGTTCTGTTACAAATCTTGTACCACTGCTCTATGATATGGAGCCCCAGAGCCGGGGAAGGTATCCCTAGACCCTTACTCAAGTACTTGGACAACATTGAGATGGTTAATTCTATTGTATGTGTCCGGTTCTTTTATGATGAAATTATCAGGGGCATTGGAGTTGCTTTGGGAGGAAAGGAGAAGCGAGGGGTCATATATGTCCCAGGATGCATGACACTATTGTGTATAAGTTTCATATTTTACTTGGTTCATTCTAGTTCTAATTTGTGTCGTGTGAGTTCTAATTATGACATGTTAGCTCTAATCTACACCATGTTAGTTCTATTGCAGATTTTGTTAGTTCTAATTTGTGTCGTGTGAGTTCTAATTTATGCCTTGTTAGTTTTAAGATATACCATGTTAGTTCTAGTTGCACCCATGTTAGTCCTAACATAGGTCATGTTAGTTCAACCTGGGCTCATGATGGTTCTAACATAATTTATGTTTGTTCTAATTAATGCCTTAGTCCTAGTTTATATCATGTTAGTTCTAGTTGCACCCATAGTTTACTCTCTTTGCTGTAGTCTACTATTATTCTAAATAGTTTACTCTTTTTGGTACTACGAGATGACCGGCATAAAGAAATATGCCCTCGTAGACTGCTCCAGATCTCCAATGACAAATTAGGCACCAGAGGAAGCGAAAGTCCCATCTATGTGGGTGGAGACAATTACGACAAATGCTAAGTCAACGTCAATAACTTTTGTCCATAGCCCTATTGTGGAGGTCCCTTCTCCAGGTCATGTTCATGCACTTCCCGCTGTACAAAGGGGTGAAGTTGTGTATCATAAGCGTCAGGCAAAGAGGAAGGCTATCCAAGAGGAATCTACTAAAAACTTCTCAATAGGCTACGTAAGTATCCTGTTATGTTAAGTCGTATTCATTTCACACCAACTGCAAACAATATCCTAATTATGTGTAATCCTACTTTAAATTATAATCTCTTATTAATAACAGATCATGACAAAGCATATTGACGTTGCTTTCGACGATGAAGAGGAGAGTAATGTTCTTCCCATTGAGCAGCAACTTACATTTTGGAGAAATTCTGCTAAATTTCTCAAACGACTATTAGTTGCTACAAAGCAGCACAAGAGTACATATTATAAAGAATTCATGATGGAGATAAACATGCTAAACAGGATAATTGAAAATTTTGGAAGTCATGATGAGGTTATAGACCCGGTGGTGCTGAAGGCGAATATCAAACAGAAAATTACAAATGAAACGAGGAAGAAGCGACGGGTAGTTCAAGAGGAACAGAAGTCCGAAACAAGCAGTGTATATAAGGAAGATCCCACCATGCAAGAACATGTACATAAGATTGTTGAAGAGGATGTGAAGCATCCTGTTGACGACAATGTTATAGAAAAGGAGCATGTTATTTCAGAAGGGAAGAATGTAGATAGTAAGGTTGACCTAAATGTAGATAGTAATGTTGAGGATAGGATAGATCTCAAGGTTGAACATGTAGATAAGGAAGTGAAGCATATTGAACATGAAAATTTTATTGTAGATAACAAAGGTTTTGATGAGGATCCTGCTGATGGTGTAGATAAGGAGGAGGATATCGTAGATAAGGAGGAGGAGAATCCAGATAAGTTGGAGGAGCATGTTGATAGAGAAGGGGAGAATGTAGATAGTATGGTTGACACGTCCCTATTTATGTTTCTTCCTTTGGTCTCAAAAGCTAAAGTTGTTGTTGTCTATACGTAGCTAACTGCTGCTCAGACGCGTTTTGTGCCTTTCTCTGTGGAGCGCTCTTTGTACTATGTCCGTCTCTCTCTTAGGCTCCCTCTCTCTCTCTCTCTCTCCCTCTCTCAGACTCGTAGGTCTGTCTGTAGCTAGCTGCACTTTTCTGTCCCTGTCCCTCTTTTCTACCTCCGTGTTTTCTCTCCTTTGCCACACACACTCCCCACTCTCTCTCAGGGCCCCTCTCTATTTGTAGTGTCGCGCTCTCCCCCCTCTCTCACTCTCACACACACGTCTTCTCGCCGTTGTCCCCCTCTCTCAGGGCCCCTCTCTATTTGTAGTGCCGCGCTCTATCTCTCACGTCGCCGCACGTCTTCTCTCTTCTCGTCATGCGCCGCTTTTTGGTAGAAGAGAAAGTAATGACTGAGGTATATTTAGTACCTAGATTATTGTTCAGTATTTTTAATTTTTTGAACTTGTGAATAGATCAAATACAGTAAGAGGCGTAGCAGTGGATATTGTAAATTTCTCTGATAAAGAATTCATGATGGAGATAAACATGCTAAACAGGATAATTGAAAATTTTGGAAGTCATGATGAGGTTATAGACCCGGTGGTGCTGAAGGCGAATATCAAACAGAAAATTACAAATGAAACGAGGAAGAAGCGACGGGTAGTTCAAGAGGAACAGAAGTCCGAAACAAGCAGTGTATATAAGGAAGATCCCACCATGCAAGAACATGTACATAAGATTGTTGAAGAGGATGTGAAGCATCCTGTTGACGACAATGTTATAGAAAAGGAGCATGTTATTTCAGAAGGGAAGAATGTAGATAGTAAGGTTGACCTAAATGTAGATAGTAATGTTGAGGATAGGATAGATCTCAAGGTTGAACATGTAGATAAGGAAGTGAAGCATATTGAACATGAAAATTTTATTGTAGATAACAAAGGTTTTGATGAGGATCCTGCTGATGGTGTAGATAAGGAGGAGGATATCGTAGATAAGGAGGAGGAGAATCCAGATAAGTTGGAGGAGCATGTTGATAGAGAAGGGGAGAATGTAGATAGTATGGTTGACACGTCCCTATTTATGTTTCTTCCTTTGGTCTCAAAAGCTAAAGTTGTTGTTGTCTATACGTAGCTAACTGCTGCTCAGACGCGTTTTGTGCCTTTCTCTGTGGAGCGCTCTTTGTACTATGTCCGTCTCTCTCTTAGGCTCCCTCTCTCTCTCTCTCTCTCCCTCTCTCAGACTCGTAGGTCTGTCTGTAGCTAGCTGCACTTTTCTGTCCCTGTCCCTCTTTTCTACCTCCGTGTTTTCTCTCCTTTGCCACACACACTCCCCACTCTCTCTCAGGGCCCCTCTCTATTTGTAGTGTCGCGCTCTCCCCCCTCTCTCACTCTCACACACACGTCTTCTCGCCGTTGTCCCCCTCTCTCAGGGCCCCTCTCTATTTGTAGTGCCGCGCTCTATCTCTCACGTCGCCGCACGTCTTCTCTCTTCTCGTCATGCGCCGCTTTTTGGTAGAAGAGAAAGTAATGACTGAGGTATATTTAGTACCTAGATTATTGTTCAGTATTTTTAATTTTTTGAACTTGTGAATAGATCAAATACAGTAAGAGGCGTAGCAGTGGATATTGTAAATTTCTCTGATTGGGAGCTGGTGTTCATCTCAAATTAGTGGGGTTGTAAGATTTGTATCAGAGAGAGATATTGAAAAAATAAGGTTTATTCAAGCTTGTAAACTATCATTTTACACCCTAATAAAAAAGTAAGATTTATTCTAGTAAAACTGGACAAGGTTGTTCGTCTCTAAGGGGCTGTTTGGTTGGTTTCCCTAAATATAGGAAATATATTTCCAAGCCTAAACATTGATTTCTCTATGTTTTTATAGGTTTCTTAAAGTTTGTTTGGTTCAACACAAAATAGGCTTGGAAATATATTTCCACACACATCTATTGTTTGTTTCACATCTTAAAAAAAGGAAACTAAGAATAGGAAATGTCACTTCTTATTTTCTCTAGTTTGGTTGGAAGAAGTGCACAATGAGAGAAACAAGCTGTGATCACCATGGTGAGGTTACCACCAAAAAAAAACATGCACATAATAAAAGTTCATATTCATTTCAATAATCAAATTCTAACACCACTTTAGAGCTGCTTCAAAAAAATTTGCAATCACACTTAACAAATAGTCAAAGGAAATTCACACATCCGTGAGAAAGTAAAATTGCTCAATTCTAATACATCTAAAAGCAATAATTTTCACATGAATTGCATAATAATTAAAATTTAGCAAACAAAATAATGCATGATCAAGTCAAATTCTAATAATTCCTCTGTTAACAATAATATCACACCATGCACAATTATCCATCCAGTAGATGAATAATAACTAAAATCACACAATCATTAAAAAACAATATCTTTAAACCCCTTTGTACACCCAATAACCCAAAAAAACTCAAAAAAAAAAAATCCCAATTTTTTTTAACCAACTCGGGTTTGGAATCAAGAAGAAGTTTTTCATTGCAAACAACTATTGTGGTTATTAAAAAGAAGTGGCCTTTGCATGTGAATGTGAAAACTTACTATTAAAAAAATTAGGAAAGAAAAAGGAAAAACAGGAAAATTACGAAAATTACCTTCACAGATTTTGCAAAGAAGCTCGGTGAGGTTCTCTACATGGATTAGCCCCAAAGCAGTTAGATCTTAGAGGGATTAAGCAATCAACGTAGCAAAGCAACGAATCCACCTCTAAAATAACCCAAATAGAAGACCGCCGAACCAATAACCCAAATTAGAAGCTGTTTTACCGATGAAATAGCCAACTATTAGCCCTAACAAAGCTTGGATTTCTATTGAAGTAGCAAGAGAAGATTGACAGTGGAAGAGGGATCGATAACAGGTAGGATCGACGAAGGTTTCACAAAAAATATTTTCCATAATTTTTTGGCCAGAGAGAGGCGGTGGAAGGATTGAAGAAGAGAGACGGAAAAAGAAAATGAAGAAGAAAGAGGAAAGGAGAAAGAGATAAGAAGGCGGTGATAATAACGAAGTGGTTTTTTTCCCGCTGTTTTTCTGTGTTCCCGCGGTCTAGCTGGCAGTTTTTTAACTCATCTCCGTCCCATTTCCGAGCAAAAACTTCGGAAATGGGGATCTCTGTTTTTCTGAGTTGGCGGACGATTTCCATCAAAGTTTTCTTTAAATTTGAGTGCGAACCAAACTGCAGATTAGAAAAAAAAATGAACTTACATTTCTTACTGTCAACATGTCAAAGCTGGAAACCTATTTCAACTCCTTATTTTTGCCAACCAAACAGCCCCTAACTGGACAAGGTTATTCTAGTATCAACTCTGAAGATTCAAGCTTGTAAACTATCCATCTTTTCACACCCTAAGTAAGTGACCAAATTCATAAGTTCAGAAAATTAAAAATATTGAACAATAATCTAGGTACTAAATATACCTCAGCCATTATTTTCTCTTCTACCAAAAAGCGACACGCGACGAGAAGAGAGAAGACGTGCGACGACGTGAGAGATAGAGTGCGGCACTACAAATAGAGAGGGGCCCTGAGAGAGGGGGGCGGCGGCAAGAAGACGTGTGTGTGAGAGTGAGAGAGGGGGGAGAGCGCAGCACTACAAATAGAGAGGGGCCTTGAGAGAAAATGGGGAGTGTGTGTGGCAGAGGAGAGAGAACGCGGAGGCAGAAAAGAGGGACAGGGACAGAAGCGCGCAGCTAGATACAAACAGACCTACGAGAGCCCGAGAGAGAGAGAGAGGGAGCCTAAGAGAGAGACGGATAGAGTACAGAGAGCGCTCCACAAATAGAGAGGGGCCCTGAGAGAGAGAGGGGGGCGACGACGTGTGTGTGTGAGTGAGAGAGGGGGGCGGCGGCAAGAAGACGTGTGTGTGAGAGTGAGAGAGGGGGGGAGAGCGCGGCACTATAAATAGAGAAGGGCCCCGAGAGAAAGTGGGGAGTGTGTGTGGCAGAGGAGAGAGAACGCGGAGGCAGAAAAGTGGGACATGGACAGAAGCGCGCATCTAGCTACAGACAGACCTACAAGAGTCAGAGAGAGAGGGAGCCTAAGAGATAGACGGACAGAGTACAGAGAGCACTTTACAGAGAGAGGCATAAGAACGCGTCTGGGTAGCAGTTAGCTACGTACAGACAACAACTACTTTAGTTTTTGAGACCAAAGGAAGAAACATAAAATGGGACGTGTTATTTTACTCGCTACCTATGGTCTATCAACATGTTTATAGAGCTGTCATTATGTAACTTAATGTGGAAGCAAAGGGTTGCCCACAGCCAAGAAGGGTAAGCAAGAGATCTAAATGGAAGAGGACCCCATATACTGAAGGAAAAAGAAAGAAAAAGGAAAAAATTAAAGTAGAAATACTTGAAAGTCCTAAAAATGTAAAACTAGTTGACAAAGTTACTCATTTTTACGCAGGTAATCAATTCCCCACTTGGGATGTGTTGAGTTTGAAGCCAATGACAGATGATGAGGTAGCTCTATTGGGAAAGCTGAATAAAGAGATTCTAGATCCTACATCGTTTAACATACGCATAATAGATAGCACATGTGTTTTTGTACATAATTTAAAGATACCATCTGTATTAGCAGCCAGACTCGACAAAGCTCAAATCAATAGGCTAACTAAATTTTGCTCTCAGAAGATTCACAGGTAAGTTTCAGTTGACTATTTATATGCTAATTCGTCACATATTAGGCCTTTGCTCTCAGAAGATTCACAGGTAAGTTTCAGTTGACTATTTATATGCTAATTCGTCACATATTAGGCCTAATTCATGTTAGTTCTAATTTTCAGGAGATATAATATTATAGTAACATCCAACAGCAGTATTAACAGAGAAGAGTTGTATATTTGCTTCGTGGTGGCCGGCTTGACGACAAGGTTCGATTATACATGCTTAATAATTGAAAATGTCTTGTTTAAATTGAATTTTAATGTTTCATAACATTTACAGATGGAAGAAGCAGTATTGGACACGCTTAACCAAGAGGCATATGACAAAGGGTATGGAGTCGTATCAGTGTTCTTTCTTGTAAGAACATGCTATTTTTAAATTCACTCTGTTAGTTTTGATTGAAATGCATGTTAGTTCTTGTTGGATCCATGCTAGTTATACCATGAGTCACGTTAGTTCTAGTTGGCGTCAAGTTAGACCTACCATAAGTCATGTTAGTTCTAGTGCACTTCATGTCAGTTCTAATTTATGCCGTGTTAGTTCTAATATGTACCATGTTAGTTCTATTCTTTTGCGCGTTAGGTCTAACTCATACATGTTGTGTTTGCAGCACTCACTCTATGACTTCGAGCCGAGCAATTACGAGCTATATTTGACATATATTGATAAATATACCGTATTCTGCATGGAGCATCTGTTGATCCCTTTGGTCAGGGACGACCATTGGCATCTTGTTGAAGTTGATTTGAAAGATAATGTCGTAAAGCATTATAGTTCTGCTGGGCACGAAGCTTGAATGGAGCCTGTTAATAAAATCATAAACTATTATGATGCTCATCATGTTGATTTTGTTGAGCAAAATATGCGCAGAATATTTAGATATGAAGCCATCAAATGCGAGCAACAAAGAGGGCGGTTAGTTCCAATGTCTAAATTAGCAACAAAGAGGGCGGTTAGTTCCAATGTCTAAATTGTGTTAATTTGTGTTAGTATTAGATATGACAAAAATGTCTAATTTAGCCTTCTATGTTGCAGTCTAAATTGTGTTAATTTGTGTTAGTATTAGATATGACAAAAATGTCTAATTTAGCCTTCTATGTTGCAGTTTTGACCGTGGTTTGTTCATCTACCTCTTCATAAAAGCAATAATTGAAGGCCGCTGAACATTGCGGGTTAATCCTCTGAACGATATCCCTGAAGCTATGCGAGCAAGACTTGTCGCACAATTATTACTTGCTGGTTATGAACAAAGACATAAAGACGAAACAATGTACAGTGATGAATGATATGTTCATACAAATACAATAATGTATGTATATTTATTTGAAAATACGTGTTATCAGATGTATTGTTGGCTCTAACTTCGTGTTGGTTCTAAAAGAGTACGTTTTAGCTACAATGGTATGATGTGTTAGTCCCACTTCGTGTTGACTCTAACTAGAACTATCGCTCTAAACAGATTAGAACTAACACACTAACGTCTAGAACTGATGCTGGAGGGGATACACGCAGCATGATAGAACTAACATCAAAGCTGTTAGAGGCGATCTCACTAGAACTAACGTTCTAAATAGATTAGAACTAACACGCCAACGCCTAGAACCGACGCTAGAGGGGCTAGGACTAACACGCAGCACGATAGAACTAACGTCGAAGCTGTTAGAGGCGATCTCACTAGAACTAACGTTCTAAACAGATTAGAACTAACACGCTAACGCCTAGAGCTGACGCTGGAGGGGCTAGGACTTACACGCAGCACGATAGAACTAACGTCGAACCTGTTAGAGGCGATCTCACTAGAACTAACGCTCTAAATAGATTATAACTAACACGTCAACGCCTACAACTGACGCTGGAGGGGCTAAGACTAACACGCAACACGATAGAACTAACATCGAAACTGTTAGAGGCGATCTTATGAGAACTAACACAATACTCTAAACATATTAGAACTAACACGTCAACGACTAGAACTGACGCTGGAGGGGCTAGGACTTACACACAGAACGTTAGAACTAACATCGAAGCTGTTAGAGGCAATCTCACTAGAACTAACTGTAGGCATCGAAAATTGCCTATAGGTCTCTACGAACAGCTCAGTGTTAAAGAATGACAATGAACGTCACTATCCGGTTCACAGGAGTTCGATTGACGTTGGTGAACGCTTGAAGTGAATCGACGAACTACGTGAGCCGACAGAATTCCGGAATAACGAAGGTGCGGGCTAATCGGGAGCCCCGCAATGTTCACAAAGGGAACAATGCCCTTCGTGTCTCATTCATTCTATAGATAATCCAACCATTGGAGCTGATAGAACTCCTTGCCGGCTTTCCAACGCATTTGGAATCACTCAAATCCGAGTTCAGACGAAGAAGTTGCAGCGAAAACGGTCAAACGGGCATTGAAAACGTCTCAGAGCTGAACCGAGGCACCTACGGTGTCTCGGCCAAGTCAAGACACCCCAGGGGTGTCTCGGCCAGGCCGAGACACCCCAAGGGTGTCTCGGTTTAGGAGCCGAGACACCCCCCTAGGGGTGTCTTAACCGCGCTCCGCAACCCCTCATGCTATAAATACAAGCCTTAGCGCCTCATTTTTGGAATTTTGGAGATTAGGCGAAGCCCTGCCGGATTGAAGACTGAAGGTGCACGGATTTCAGAGAGGAGGAGGAAAGATCGGATCGAGTTCTTCAACGCAAGAGAGAGAGATTCGTCAGATCTACAGTTTCTCGGATCCGTTCCTTAAGATTATCCCGTTGTGGTAATCTTAAGAAGAGTGATTATCTCGCTTCGCCGAGATAAGAGCTACGGTTTCTCGATCCCTTCGCGGATAGACGAAGCTCTGTCCAATTTTTCAGCAATCAGATCTGATCGACGGTGGTCCACGGATAAACCCCGGCACAGGCAAAGATCCCACGCAAGCAGAAGACCGATAAACGATCTCTGCGTTTGTTTGATAAAGTTGTAAAATTTTTTATTTTCATTGTGTAAGGAGATCATATAAAAAGATCAACTTTTTATTTTATTCGAGTTTATTGTAACGACTAAAGTTGTAATAGATTCGATAACAATGGAAATTGCAACTTTCACCGCAAACAAACTGGCGACCACAGTGGGAGCCAACAGCTTCGCTGCCGAAGCTGTCGTGCCGCAGCCGATGATCAAGATCCCGGTGCTCGAAGAGGTCGAATACGAGTTCGACCAGCAAAAGTTCAAGGACTATGTCTCCTCCTCCTCCTCCAGATCCGTCTATCCTGGCAAGTGCAAGAGTGCCTCCTCCTCCAGAAAGATCTGCTGGTCTTCAGATCTGAAGATCCAAAAAGACGATCTCTCTACCGCTGTTGCTGTTGCACCTTGCAATGATCCACCGGCGTTCAATGAAGCCAAATTTGCAGATCTGAACCCCTTCACGATTAAGGAGTCGACTGCTGAAGGCGCGCCAACTCTATCAAAGAGAGCACGTCAAAAGAAACGACAACGCCTCACGCGCCAATTCGCCAAGGCTTTGGATCAGATGGATGGTCTCCATTACCAACCAGATCTGGAGCTCAGAAAGCGCCAAGTGGCTAATCTGTCGCCACGACCAGCATCAGAATCCTCCTCTCGATCTCCAATTAACGGATGGGTTCGTGTCCAAAGAACCCGCTCTACTCTCGAGGAGCGAATCCAGAAACGCCACACCTTGCTTGCGCATGCCCGGACCCTTGTGCGAAAAGCACAAGAAATGCAAAATGAAGAGGTAGTTAAGAGATCGCCGAGATCCAAACAAGTTTGGGTGCCAAAAGCCAAATCAGCGCCTAAGGCAAAAGCAGACGACGTTGCTCTCCGGCCTTCGTCAACTTCAGATCCCGAACCTCCGGTAAAGCCCTACCGCAGCGTGGATTTCCCCAAATTCAGGATTCCTCTGAAGGATCGTATCGGTGCCCTACTTGAGAATCGAGGAAAAGCGCTTGTTAAGGAAAGCTGGAGATCGTTGAAGGAGCTTCGAGCCAACATCCGGACTGGGGGTCATACGCGACCTCCTAACAAATTGATTTCTGCGACGGCCCGCTTGGCGGTGCGTGCAGAAAATCAAGAGCCCGTTAAGGTCTCACCCTCACAAGGGTGTGATTCCGAACGTGTGACTCCTGTAGATGCCAACAAGGCAATGTTTACTCAGAGGAAAACGCGTCAGACAGACGAGTGCGTTATACCTGAGAATCCATGTAAGCAGCCGATAGGTTACTCCGACCGCAACATCGATGAGTGGTACTATCAGGCTGGGGGTACGAATAAATCTCGAAAGAGAAGTACCTGGGAAGCGGACTCTCATATTATCAACGTGTAGCTGCCCCAAGACCGCTCTGCGGAGGGTCTCGGTATTCGAGAGAATCTCCGATGGAACTACGAAGCCCAAATCAAGGCGTTTCCACCAAAGAGGATCGGTTGCTCGAGATGATGAATTCCCAGAAGTTACCATCAACGTGGTCAATAAGGGAAAATCTCTGATTGTTTCAAATGGTTCCAACCCTAATTTCTCTCCGGGAAGAAGAGTCAGTTCGGGAATAACCCAACAGGTTCCAACCCTAATTTCTCTCCGGGAAGAAGAGTCAGTTCGGGAATAACCCAACAAACATCTCAGCTTAAACTAGAAACCGTTGGACATAATGATTACCAGGGTGTCCATGAAGGAATTCATTCCGATGACGAACTCTCGGATTCTTATTTTGCAATCGCCTCTGACGATACAACGTCTAGCATAGGATAAGCTCGGGAAGTGTTCATGGTCAACACCGAGCAAGTAACCAAAATGGTTGAGGAAGCCTTAGCCAAGCAGAAAGAGGCATTCAAGATTGAGATGGAAATGGCTATGCAGGAGATGAGACAAATGCACGACCAACAAATCCGAGCTTTGTCAAATCAGCTAGTTGAATCCAGCCGTCGCACCCAGAACGCCGCAGTTGACAGCGATCCGGAAGTGGACGAAATCATCATGGCCGACGCACCGCCCAAAAATACTGGGGGTGGCCCCACTAAAAATAACGACGCTGGGGGTGGACCCACCAATGATGCTCGAGAGCAAAATTAACGCTTTAATGTCTGCTCAAGAGGTAAAGAAGACCGGCATTCCGTGTCCTTACCCGAAAGAGTGGGATTCGATCCCGTATCCGGCGAAATTCAACCTGATCAACTTCACGCCGTTTGACGGGAAGGGCTCGCCCTCTCAGCACCTGATCTACTTTAAGTCCCATTTGGGTATGATCTCTGGCAATGAGCCTCTGATGGTCCGGTCATTTGTTGGCACCCTTCGCAGGCCCGCCTTCGATTGGTACCGCCGTCTCAAGCCCGGAAGCATCAACGCCCTCTCAGCACCTGATCTACTTTAAGTCCCATTTGGGTATGATCTCTGGCAATGAGCCTCTGATGGTCCGGTCATTTGTTGGCACCCTTCGCAGGCCCGCCTTCGATTGGTACCGCCGTCTCAAGCCCGGAAGCATCAACAGCTGGGAGGACCTGTAAAGCATGTTCCTCACTCATTTCTTCGATGATGACGCCGAAGTGTCGATCGGGACACTCTTCGATGAGAAACAAAAAGACGGAGAGTCGGTGGATACCTTCATCAAACGCTTTCGTAATCAGGCAATAAACTGTAAGGATCCCGTCATGGAGGAATTCGTCTTGCAAACCTGTCATAACAACTTGTCCATTAACATCTTGGACGTTATGGGAGTAGAGCCACTCAATACCTGGAGAGAGTTAAAGGCGCGCGGAGAGCAGGCCGAACGATTCCTTAGGAGGAGGAATGTTGAAAGATGTCAACCGATGACTAATCCTCTGAATCTGGGTCTCGTTTCCCATAATGAGGGAAAGACACCAACAACAGTTGTTGACGTTAATCAGACGTCGCAACAGCAGTCCCGAAGACAGCAGAATAGTTCTAATCCGAGGCTCCAAAAAAAGTACTCATTCAAGGACGAAGACGTTCCAGCCATCTTCGAGACCCTTCTTGAAAATAACAAGATTAAGCTGCCACCCATCACAAATCAGGAGGAAGCTGACAATACTGCAGATCCGAAGTACTGTGCGTACCACAGGAGGATCCTTCATCCCACCAAGGCTTGCTTCACTTTAAAGAATAGCATCCAAACCTTGGTTGAAGCCGGCGTCATAACGCTAGGGTAAGCCAATTAAGAACGGTGTCACTCCGAAGAGTATACGAGTATAAACTGCTTCTCAATCCTCCAATCGGTATATGAGGTTAAACTGCTCCCTGATACTCCAATAGGTATATGAGTCTAAACGGTTTCTTACTGTTAATGGGAAGTTCCTAGAGAATGTTACGCTAATATTCTTAAGGATAACCCGGTCATGTAATGGAGTACAAA